TTGCTATTATACAGTACAGATGCCCACACTATCAATTTGGACTTGTTCTGGCTATTATCAACATCCTAAATGCTTGGTTGTGACTGTTAACTTTTAAGATTTTTAGTTTCCCCCTCCCTCAGCATGAAGGGTTGGCAGGGCTTGATGCTAACTTTTCAACTTACTAGCCAAGTAGCTAGTGACAACTTAGATGTTACAACATTTTCAGTTTGTTTACTTCCCAAACTGGCCAGTGGAAATTAAAAAACCACTAGCCAAACTGAATTTCTACTAGTCTGTGGCTAGCTGGCTTCCATTAGTTTTGAGCCCTGGTAGGTGAAGTCAGTTGCATATTATTTTTTTCCATTTTTAGATGCTGCAAAATCAGCCCTGAATATTTCTGCAACCTCTACTGTTGAACCAAAAGTGGATGTGGAAAAGGGGTGAGTGTTTGGACCAGAGAATGATTTAGGATTTTCTTTTGATTTAAAACTGCAGTAAATGTTCTTATAATTCTCTCTCCCTCGTGTGAAGCCTTCCTTTATGATAAGGTTCCCCCCCCCCCTTCCTTAAGAAGCTTGCCCTCCTCTTAAAAAAAAAACCCTGACAGAAGTGGCTGTTATTCTGGAATCGTTATGACCAGCTAGAAGTTTAGTACAGAATATACTTGTATTTGAAAGCCTATGTTAATTCATAAAGGCTGATAGTTTCTAAAGAAACTGTTTGGGGCTGCACTGGTGGGGGTAACGAAATAATTTCAATATAATTTATCAACAAAGTTGAAATGGTAATGCTTTTCTCTCCACTAATTTATTCGTGTTTTTCTCGTTGCCATGTTCCCACCAATCACGTAGCTCCATTTTTTGCCTTTAAAAGCACACACAACCCACAATTCCTCTATTCGCTCCGACGCTCGAAACGTCAGCTTTTATAATCGTAACGGTGGCCAATTTACCATTTTCAACTTTGTTGATATATTGAAATTACTCTGTTAATTCAGTTTGGAATTTTGTTGGTTTTCTACCAAAGAAATATATACACCTTGTGGTATTTTTTTAAAAAGCATGATGGCATTCAATAGAGATTCAAACATACCTGTAATATCAACACTTCGAAGGCTCAGTGGTCTTTTGATAAACTACTTATTGACTGAATTTAGTTGGGCTGGATGGAGAGATAGTTGGCTGAAGTTCCTAACGCCATGGTGTCAAGACCTTTTGTGAAATATTTTGCCATCTTATTCCCCCTCCGCTCAGTCAATAAGTGCATTAGGATAAGCCTCCCCACTCTCTATTTGAAAAAAAAATCCCAACTGGCCGGAGGCAAACCAGTTGGCTATTTACAAGCATGGCCGAGGATTTGAACTCGGAGCCACCGTGAAACAAATTTAGGTAGTGGTCAGGGCGGGACTCGAACCCGGGAGCGACGGATTGCGAGTCCGACACGCTGACTACTCGGCCACGCTGCCTCCTTTAGTCCCCCTCTTCATCAACTCCCAGTCCAGTTTGTCCCTGCCCAAATTTTTTATCTCAAAACTGATAAGTCACCCTGTGGCTAACAGTATTTGAGCTTTTGCAGTTTACATGCACTGAAATTCAACCGAGCACCAGTAGCATAATTCTTTCTTTTTCCTTGAAGAAAAATCCAATCAGTCTTTCTAGCAATGTCTTAGGATTTTTTTAAGTTTTTCTTGAACACCCTGTATCAACATTTTCAGACAAGAAGAGGTTAAGAGTGGATTGCCAGCATGGCTTTTGGAGCTTGTTCCAGCCGTCAAGTTTGACATCAATAATGTAAGTGTTCACATGTTGCGTATAAAGAGGGAAGTGCGTTCATTTTGTTTGCAACAAAATAAAAATGTACAGGAAAAAAAAAAAGATAATCGGGAACCACAATATAGGTGAAAAAGCTCTAATGTAGATGGTTTAGGGTTTTTTTTTTCTATCTAAAGCTACGTTAATTTTATATTTATGAAGTTTGGTGACTTGGACTGGAGACAAGGAGATTTGTTCTGTCTCTTGATGAGACTTCTGGATAAGGCTAGTATAGTTTGCATGAGCAGTTTGAATGCAACCTGTGTGTATTCATGAGATGCACAATTTAAAACTGAATGTTTCCATCCTAGGGAAGAGTGGCTTTTGGAAACAGGTTGTTAGAGACCACTTTGTGTTTCAAGTTTGAGAGCGCTACAGGAATTTACACAACTTCGCAGGTTTGCAATAAGCTATTGCCTGTAAAGATCTAGAGAGTGTGTTTTTCAGTATGCAGATTTCATTCATTTTGTTCAAAAAAAGCTTTTGATCATTTCGAAAGTATATTCAGTACGTATAGTCGGCAAGGTTTAGGGTGGGGGTTTTGACATTGAATGTAATTATGATTAATTTTTTATTCTTCTCCTTTGTTTTATTTCTTGTAGGCTCAATCATCTCTTGATGAGTTTATGCATATTGTTAAGTGTCAAGGAAAGAATGTGCGAGTGATGCTGTCTCCAAGCCCATCTTACACTGGGCCGATCGATGAGTAAGTTTTCTGTTGTCACTATTTTTCTGTCTCCTTCTTACAATATGAATAAAAATTTCCAAGAAGATGCGCAAGGGTAGGAGATAAATTTGATCAATAAAGGATACATGTATTGTTTGATTTAATTTCTTTTGTTCATTTTCTCCCGTAGAAACATAAAAAAAATCGCGCGGCTGCCATTTTTTAAAATTTATGCTTCAGAACATCATCATGTCGTGTAGGGTGATAACATGAAGTGTTGTACTCGTCGAACAAACGGATTGCATCTCTATAACCACTCGAAAATTTACCATCAATGTACAAAAAGTGTCCCCCATCATGTTACAGTAAAATTTTCTCGGCTTGATGGGCTACCATCACTACCATTTTTTTGTAGGTATGAGCGCTACGATCTCCGCTATTATTACTCAAAAAGTACATACGAATCTAAAACGTCACAGCCATAGTTATGCCCTCAGCTTCGCACTTTAATCGACCAATGAGGTTACGTGCAGTATCTTATCTTGTATGTTTCTTAATTTACGGTAGTAGCATATATATGTGATAATTTTTTTCTTACAGACCTCCTCGTTACATGGGAGAGGGTTTTGTTGTCCTTCAAACTGCTGACTGTAAAATCACATACTATCAAGATGAACCAGGTTTGTAAACGTATGAATTTTTCAGCTCTCCATTTCTCACACCTCAGGATATCACCCATACTTCTCGAGAAGTAGCCATTTATTCCTCGTGTTTCTTCTTTTGTTGTGAACTAAGAAGATTCGATCGACTTTTAAAAACTGTAAGTGTTTGTTTTTCGTGTACCGGTTTGTTTGTAAAAATGATAAACTTTCTGGACGTTTTCTTCAATACGCTTTGGGCGACGCAGTTGCGTGCGTCAACACCTTTGCTAACTGCTGTTAAAAACGTTCTTGCTTCACAGGTTTTGTTCCCGAGGTCAAAGCCGAAAATGAAGAAGAATTACCAGACAGTGATCCTCACTGGGGAATCGATGTTGTCTTCTTCAAGAACACCAATTTGTTCTATGGGCCTTGGGTTGACAGACAAAGGTAGAAAACTGGATTTATTGAAAGGCCGCGCTAGTTTTCGTATGTGGAGAACGTCTGTGTCCCTTTGCAGTGGCCGGGGTTCGATTTTAGCCTAGTTCTTGTACGTGCTCTTAGAGGTCCTCTTTGGCTTCAGCAGATTTCGTCTCTCCACAAAATAAAATTATTCCAAAGCTTCTTGGAAATAGTGAATGTGTTTTTGCTTCATTTAGCTCATTCTAATGTATTCCCTTTTTTTATTTACAGAGATGCGTTGCAGAAGTTCTTCTTCCCTTTTGACTACCAGGAGATTCAAGCCACGAAACCCTTAGTCCCTGGCCAGAGGCGAGTTCACACCGGTCTGGATGTCAAGTTTGACTTTGAGTGTGATTCCACACTTGATATTTTGTTTTCTAAGAAAAGGGTGAGTTTACTCTTACTTTGGGTGTTACTTGATATTGTGATAAATGAAGATGAGTGAGAACCAAACCTACACGTCACAACCGCCTCTTCATGTGTGTATCTAATTTCGGATTTTTTTTTTTTCTCGTCTGTCGTCATACTTCTTGTCAACAGGTCACTAAGGCTCTTCATCTGTGCGTGGGGTCTGGGTCACATGTGCGAGTATACCAGCCGTGGACTGTGAATGAGTATGGTTACACTACCTCAGTTGTTGCCAAGTTATTCCAGGTTGAAGCTACGACCAGTTTGGCCTATAGGCAGCTCATTGATGCAGACATGATGGACGTAAGAGAAATACATTTGAAAATGTTTGCTTTCCATTCATGCCATAGCAATTATCAATTGCTATGGTACAATTGCATTGGGGCGCCTTTCGATTGAGCGTCGTAAAACCAAAACCAAAATAACCACAATGGCCAATCAGAAAAAAGGAAAATACTCTGAAGAGCCAATAAGAACTCGAAGCAAAAACAGCCAAACTGCCTGAAGCGCGGGAAAACGTGGGCGACCAAGTAGTGATTGGCTTAAGTTTTGCATCTGATTGGTTGAGAAGTGGTGCAAGTTTTCTGGACCAATCACAGAGTGATGTAAAGCAAAACCAAAGCAATCTCGGATTTCGATGCTCAATTGAAAATTGATCTATTCTTAACTTACAACGCCTTGTGACTGTTCCAGTGCCCTCTCAACCAGGGGTGAAACTAAACCACTGGTGATCCCCCGTGCTTGAGGCCCTCTCTGTGGTTTCAGTTTGATTTCTCATTGGCTCTCTTCAAAGATTCCTTTATCTTGCTTTCTTGCTGGATTTCTTTGGCTAATGTTAGACGACACGAAACCGAAAAGGGATTTTTCGGCTACTTTTTCTTATTTGCCATCTACTTTTAAACCTTTTTGCAGCTCTGCAGTGGCATCAGGCATTTCGGATATGCCTTGCAGCAACTGATTGAAATGTTCTTTCCAACACTGTGTAGATACACGCTCCTCTCCTGGTTAATGGTGGGGGTGGGGTGGTGGTACATGTTTAGCCCATGTTACTTCCCGTTTCTTGAAGTAAGTACAATATATTTTCCTTTCAGCTGGCCTTTCACATGTCTTTCCCTCGCATTTGGAATCAAACACAGCACTGGTCATGCGATATTACCCTTCAGAAAGTCACGTGGAGTTTCATCTTTGCGCACAAGTTCTTCTTTCAAGGTGGAGTAACAAGCTTTAGCCCATGCCACCTATACGAGGACTAGAACACTTTATATGGTTATTAGAGAAGCTGTGGCGTAATGGTCAGTGCACTGGACTCCGGGTGGAGAGGTCTGGGTTCAAGTGTTGTGTTCTTGGGCAAAACTCTTTACTGTCACAGTGCCTCTGTCCACCCGGGGTGGGGTTGTTCAAAGCTGGGTTAAGATAACCCAGGATTAGTGTGAAATCTGAATACAGACCTGAAAGCTTTAAAAGAATATTCAGTTTCTTTATTTTTGTCTACAATTTGATGATTTGGATGCTCTAAAAAGAATAGAGAAAATTATCCCAAAAAGGCTCTTGAATAGGGAAGTAAAGAAAGCTGGATTAAGATTTAAGCCAGTTTTAGCGCTAATCGACCTTCGAACAACTGGGCTTTAGAGTATAAATGGATACCGGCGAATTTTCAGGGAAGCTTGATGAAATGTTGCGGGGTGTCCTTGCGACGGACTGGTATCCCATCCAAGGGGGAAGTAGTTATACTTCCAGTCGCTTCATGCTAAGGAAGCCCCGATCAACTGCAGCTGGGTGAGCCACTCGAGAACAGACTTTTATTACACGACTCGGGAAGTCAGAGGGCCAATAACTAAAATCAACCAATCAAAATGCTCTATTGCCGGTCAATATTCTCTCAGTATTGGACCGGGCACAGTCCCGAATGGTCCCGAATGATACCGCACTTGTGTCCCTTTGAACTTCAGTCGTGTAATAAATCTCTTATTAACCAAGCTTGCTCGCTGCACTCGGTCCGTACTGTCAAGACCTCGGGCCGATATTCTCCCAGTACGGCCTTCGCGCTTGGTTAATAAGATATATGTATCCAACGTGCAGTATCGCATGTGTCTTGGATGTCGTAAGTCGACGTAGCATGAGGAAGAGCCATCACCTGAGTTCGTTCTCCAGGCGAGGAAGACCAGCTCATGGGGCACTGGGACGATTTTCGTGGCACACGCGCTTCTGCTGTCGCGCGTGTTTCACGAGGNGAACTTCAGTCGTGTAATAAATCTCTTATTAACCAAGCTTGCTCGGGACCGTACTGGAAGAATATCGGCCCTCAGTCTTTTTTGAACGGACCGAGCGCAGCGAGGTCCGTACTGTCAAGACCTCGGGCCGATATTCTCCCAGTACGGCCCTCGCGCTTGGTTAATAAGATATATACATTGGTTTCTAATGAGGCTAAATATATTATATGCTAGATCAAAACCAAACGACACTTCTGTCAATTAGACGAGGGGGGCTCAAGGGAATTTGCAGGGGCGTTGTAATATGCTATCGCTCAGTTTGCTGTGCACTTTTTGGTTGCTATGACCCCACCCCTCCCCCCACTTTTGAGTAAGTATTCATTTCATACATCACAATCGAGACACGTCGTTTGTTTCCGTAGAGATGATAGAAGATTGGACAATGAACTACAAACCCGACCTACTCACCTTTGTACCCTATGAATGGTCATTTAACATCATACTGCGAGACTTTGAGATGGTCTGGTTGGGAAATCAGCACAACTGGATTGAATGCACTTCAAATAAACATGAAAATGGTACGTTAAATACACTTTCTCGTCGCTTTTGTTTTTATTTTAATTATTTGCGCATTTTCCCCTTGAAATCCAGTTTAGACTAAAGCCTGTTTCTTGCCCGGGATACTCGTGGATACCGATTCTTCAAAGAAGTAACTTTTGATGAGGATCCATCCATAATTTTTGCTTAACTTACTCCCTTGTGGTCATTTAACAGTGCTGTGATTTTTGTGTTCGGTTTTTAGCTGAGCTTGCCTTTTGTGGTGAGGTGTTTGACTTAACATTTGTCCTCCAATATTTCCGTTTCATACCGGAAATAGAAGAGATCAAGTTCTTTCTACAAGTAGGTGTCAAAACTTATTCTTAACTTTTGAAGTTCATCATTTGCAGTCATTTTTATGTCTACTGCATTGGTGTGACCCGGGTAGACGTTAAGTTATCCTGAGAAAGTGTTTGTCCGAGTTGTTTGTGAGTTTGTGACGTTGTCGATAAAAGAGCGTCAATCGTTAATCTTTCGCGATGTCAAAACAACAGGGGACTAGAATTCACGGCTACATTAACTGCAATTGTATCCTCTGTGGGTCGACTTTTGAAAAAAAATCTCTAGGAAGGTGTGATGTTGATGAAAGTAGCAGCAAGGATAAACCAGCAAGGAAAAAGGAAGGAGATTATCGAGGTAATAAAGGTCCTTGAAGAAATAAAGTTTTTGTTGGTATTTTTGTCATTCAGGCCGAGAAGCTGGTTGCCAGAATGTTTGTCCCGGAGTCAAACACTCTTAGACGCAGCCTGTTGTCGCTGGCTCGTTCCTCGGAGAAGAAACGGGAACAGGGTCTTAGATCGCGCTCATCAACGACCACTGGGAACATAGACGAGGCGGTAGAGAGTGCCGATGAACAGCCGATCACGGGCACAACTGAAGAGACAATCAGTGGAGGATGGAGGCGGCACACGGACGAAAGTCTAGGTTAGATTATTTAGATCTTTCAATGCTTAGCTTGCGTGCAGGCCCTTATCATTGGGATCTTATGCAGTCAGGACGGCTACACCAAGGAAGACGTCGATTAAAAAATGAATTTCTACTTTTACTTAGAATTTCGAAAATGGCTGCATCCGTTTACCGTCTCATACGGCGCTACACCTCAACCTCAACATAACGTATAAAAGTAGCGTTGAGTTCCAAATGGAAATTAAAATAATTTGCCGTCGCGGTTTCGGTTCGCAGACGACACGAATTTGGGTGATTTCATGACGTTATTTTGCAAAGGACGGCTAAGAAATGTACTAAGTTTTAAAACGCACGTGAATAAAGGCTGATAGTTTCGAAAGAAACTGTTTGGGGCTGCGTCGGTGGGGGTAACGAAATAATTTGGATATATCAACAAAGTTGAAATGGTAAATTGGCCACCGTAACGATTACAAAAGCTGACGTTTCGAGCGTTAGCCCTTCGTCGGAGCGAATAGAGGAATTGTGGGTTGTGTGTGCTTTTAAAGGCAGAAAATGGAGCTACGTTATTGGTGGGAACATGGCAACGAGAAAAACGAGAATAAATTAGTTGAATGAAAAGCGTTCGTTGATCCCTGTGGGATTTAGACTGCCGGTTTGAAAGATGAGCTTTTGTTCAAGATTTTTACGGCTTTCCGTGCTACCTAAGTGTAAGGAAAGACCGCAGATTGCCATATGTTGCTTAGAATGATTAGGTAAAATAAATGCTGAGTTATTGTTTCGCCAATTATAGCTATTCTTTTTCCACGTCCTCGTTGCTATTAGTGTAGACCTCTGAACGGCTCGCGTTGCTCATACTCGTTTATGAAGCGCTACTAACGAAGGCGTGTTAGCAGGGTATTCATTGCTCTATGTTGCAAAACGTTTTTCATTCGGCTGTGGAAGAGACATTTTCAGTAGAATGTTCAAAGTTGCTTGGAATTGTGTCGCCTTTGCTTCGCTACTGAATATGGGAATAAAGTTCTCAACCCTCACAAATGTTTCCATTTGATACTTTTTTCAGTTTTTCTGACTGACAGTTGTGAGAACGACACTTAATCGAAAAAGTGTCCTTAAAGCGAAAACAAGAGAAAAAACATCAACTACGGAGACTTTGCTAGTGGATTGGAAGCCAATGTCGGAAAGGTTCCCTTATTTTGGGATGTTTTCCTTTATTGCAGGATGGGTAGATGTGATGTCCGTTCCCATCCTAGGGCTCTCCTTGGGGTACATCTATCACCCTATGTATCCGAGCCCCAAGTTTGAGGTGCCCCGAGGCGAGGAGCTTCTTTGTGACCCTACACAGTGGGAACCTGACGTCATCACCCTGGAACTGGATGCTGGACCAGCCGCACTCAAGGTGTTTGGCTCACTGCTGGCTATACTAGCCGCCATTAAGGTTAGATTATGCATTTTTTCGTAAAGATTGCGACACGCTAGGTGACAAGGGGGAGCCAGAAAAGGCAGGGAAAAGTCGTAGAGACAACTTCCTTCGACGAACACGGGGAGTGGTTGTAAAGACATTTTTCCCATCGACGGTGCTTCGTCCCAAAACAAGTAGAATCGAATGGGTGCGTATGATCGCAGCGGCCCGCGTCGAAAAAGGAGTTGCCTTGTCTTTTTTTTTAATGGAGTTCTCACGCATAGATCTCAGAGATCTGTCTTTGTGACTTGTCTCTGAGTTTGTTCCAACCTTACAACTGTTAAAAATACTGCAGTTTCCCTAGCTTGAAACTACTATTGCCTCACCCTTCGCTCCCTGGATCAGAAAAGGGATGAAAGTTCATATCCTTTTATTCTTTGTCTCCTGTGATGTTCGGTTACTCCAACAGAGGACTCTATCAAGCTATATTTCTTTACTTTGATAGAAATTAATCGTTTTTATAATCATAGTATCTTTAAAGGGTAGGATGACGGTCCCCCGAAACCCAATCTCGATCCTGGATCCACGAAAGTTTCGAAACTCGAGGATGGAGTCGAGTTTTGAGACGCACCAGTTGGAGAAAACAAGTTTGACTCTTCGTGCGATTAAATGTCCACACCGCGTAATCAGAATCGGGAAGATCTTCTGACCCTGCAAAAGTACTGCCTTCCTCATGTCTAGAACGTTGTGGCTTGACAGTGGCAACGACCATGAACAAAAATCGAACACGGATCGTGTGATTCAGGGCTCACGATGCAAATTTTATGGGCTGGTAGCTTTCCCTAGCTATCTTGATCAGAATGTATCCTCTTCCGTGGAGAAAAAAAAAGAGTTGTAATTCTGATTTTGTTGTTTTTTTTGTTGTTTTTCAAACACAGGAGAATTACTTTGGAATTTACCAAGAATTTAAAGAGCTCGGTGTCAAGTACAATCGAGAAGAATCAGTGAGCGAAACTACTCTGGGCTCTGCGAGTAAAGACACAATTAACTTACAAACACTGAGGCCAATGGAAGCCAACATCTTCCTTCAACTTTGTGATGTCAAGGCGGAATTGACGAAGGTTAGGTCTGAAGTGCGAACGTATACAGTACTTTTGTGGGATTTTAATCGAACGCAGCGAACAATTAAAGCTGCTTTTACTACACCAAGTTTACCTCGTCAAGTTTTCTCTTTTGAAGCTTCTTTGGTTGAGAAATATCTCCAAAACAATTTTCTCAAAAATTGAAATGCCTTTTGGGAACAAGAAGTCTTGTCTGAGAAATTTGTCAAGGTACATTTGCCGGCTAGTGGGCCTCAGCAGGACATTTGACCCAAATAATGTCAAAAGTTAATGTTTTCGCTAGTAAATGTAGGGAATAATTTTTGTGGTCAGGGAAATTTTTTCTGTGTAAATGCAGCTTAATTTTGTGTTTTATTGTTTGTTGATTTGCAGCATTGCGGTCCCAGCGAGCCGTCGAGTCCGCTCTTGTTGATGGAGAGACTGTCGTTTGAAATGCACAAGACGTACACAGAGACCCGGTTACAACTGCATCTGAGTCCTGCCACAATCGTGCTTGTTGACGGAAATGAAGTAAGTCTGTGAAGTTTAGCTTTATCATCATTTCGAGTTGCTAAGTCATAGTGTTGCCAGACCCTGATGGATCATTGTGTTGTATTCGTGAGTAGGGGATTTAATTGTGTCGATACTTCTCTTGACCTAGGAGTGTTTACCGTTACTGGCAAACTTTCAAGGGAATCTTTCCATGACCAGTTTTGTAGCCGGAAATATAAATGCAACGCATGCTTTATTCAATATCATCAACACTAAGACAGGGCTTGGCTAAAGCTCGATCCGCATCTTAAGCGCTTTGTCCTTTGCTATTGTTTTACGTGCAATAATTACATCGTTTTCACGATAGTGCAGATCGAGATCCTCGAAAAGTTCTTCGATTGTCTCGATTCTCGATCATCGATACTCGAGCCTCGAATCTCGATTCACGATACTTTCGAGTATCGAGGATTAAGTATCGAGTCGAGACTGTCAACTTACGTTTGAGCGGTCCTGTACTCCTAGAAGCAACTTGGCTCGCAAGTCTTAACGATAGAGCCCATTTCGAAATAATCATAACAGCCAATCAGAGCAAAAGAAATTATTACAAGGAGCCAATGAGTACTCAAAGAAATCACAAACGATCCGCCTGAAGCGCGGAAAAACGCAGGTGACCAAGTCGTGACTGGTTTCAGCTTTGCATCTGATCGGTTAAAAAAGCGGTGCCAGTTTTCTGGACCAATCACAACGAAGTAATGCGAAACCAAAGTAATCCTAGGTTAATTTTAACACTCGATTGATAATTGCTCCATACTCGACCATTAGAACTGCAAAACATTGTTGTTTCTGGATAATTTATCTCAGAAAAGTTTATATTTCTGTTAAATCTTGTTTTGATCAACAGCGCGGAAGTGTGAACCACAATTTGTCCCAGGGTCATCTGAGTTTGTCTGGACTCCAACTCCGTGGTCACGCCATGTTCTCTGGTCTGGATAGACCACCTGACTGTGAGACTTTGGAGTACGCATGGCTTGTAGAGATACAGCTGGGAATACTCTCTGGAAGGCTCACCATTCCACAGGTATGTAGAACAATAAATCGTCTCCAAAACCAATTTGTTCTATGAGTGGATTTTCTTAAAACTACTTCGCCAATAACCAAATTGCACTTGAAGCCGAGTGTTTCCCTTGAAAAAAAAAATGTCTTTTCATTAGCGAATGATTTTTTCTTTGTTTCTTTAAGCTCCAAGCCATGGCGAACTGGGTACAAACGTTTGCCTTTCACGTCATCAATAAAGAGAACGACCTGGGACCTAGCACCCCGTATGTCCAGTGCATTCACGGTAAACAACAAAATGTTTGCGAAAAAAGGCACAAAAAGCGAAAGGTGCCCAGAGATGTGGACCATGCCGAAGAGACCACTGAGGGGTCTTTGCCAAAGGAGACCTTGAAAAGATCAAAGAGCTCTCCACAGCTGTGTATCCCCGAAAGCGACGTGAAGTACCAAATGATAAGGGTCTCAGTAGGGAACATTAATTTGTTCCTTGTTGAGACCGGATCTGCGTGTAATTTGGAGGTATGGCGATTCTCGATCTCAAAATTTTTTAAACATAAATACACATTTATTGTCGTATCACAGTGTAGCTCATGGATGCAAAGCGAAGTAAAGCAAAATCAAAGTTACCCCGGATCACTTTCGAAACTACTCTAATCAGTTCGTTATTCAGCAAACTGGTTTTGAGAGCAGACAAACTTACCCTCGTAACTAATATACGAGAAATTGTTTAACAGCTGGAAAGGAAAACCGACCAGAGATTAATTTTTGAGAGCTAAAGGGATAAGACACATGTCCTTCACAAGAGAGAAAGTTTACTCTCTTTAGTAATTTTGTTTTGATTTGCTAAAAATCGTGGAATGGGCATTGCTTTGCTCGTGAAACTTCTGGAAGTGAAAGTTGATGTTATAATCCTAAGTATGAAGGACTTTTAACCCGTAGATCATTAGCTTTTTGTGTTCAGAACATTGTTAACCAGGCATTTATGGTTTCTCGTGTCCCCTCGCAGGTTTCTCCCGTTAGATTAGCTAAATGCAGTCTTCAAAGTTCAGAGTCCAGCTCGGGTGTCAGTTTGTTCGTGCAAACGGTTAAACTGCGCCAGTTTGTTTGTACCCCGTGGCCAGAGAAAACCCAACAAATTCTCAGCGACGCGCGGCGGCCATTGTCCATGGTAGAAAATTCATCTTGGCTTCAGGCGGCTGCTGTACAACTTGGACCAATCGTTTCTGATGTATCGAGCGCAACGTCTCACCCGGAACTTTACCAGGAACAGAAAGATTTCCTGGAAATGCACGATGCGCGGTTCCAGCGGCTGTGGTTTCTGTGGCAACCTCAGGAGCAACTACCTGGTAGGAGACTGGGTTGTTGTGGTTGTACCGGCGGGTGCAACTTTTTCGGCAAAAATTTAAATGGAACACGATTTTTCACTGCTGAGAAATTAGACGCTAGCGAAAACGATACTGGAATTGGTGGATTCGGGAGCGAGCCTGGTTTCTATGACGATGGCGACATCGTGGACAGTGGTGCCAGGCCTCTTATGTATTCTCGCAGTGTCGACCTAGATGCCCTGGGCTCTAATTATTTTGATCGGACACCCGTTGGATCGATAGAAGCATTTACGCGCCGGCGATACCATATTTCCGGGTCAGAGGGAAGCTCTCCAAAAGTAAAAAGAGTGATGCACGCGCCGTCAAATGAGGAAGCTTACGTGGAACTCGAGATAGGTTAGAGAATAGCGTGGTAACATAAAAACATTCTTTCCTTGAAATCAGTGATGCACTTGCTAATGTTTTTAGCTAACAGTTTTGTTATTCTTTTTGGATTCTTCCAAAACTTTGTACAGTATTATCGAATTTCGGCCGGAAATGGGTTTACCCCAGAGCGTTTCTCGACAAATTTACGGGCCTGAAGCCATATCTTAAGTTCCTGAAAAGAAAGAATACACAGCGGATGTCCACCCATACAGATTTTACTCTACATTATATATCACCTAATTTTTGTTCCCTGAAATAGATGACGATGTTAGTCCCATGCCCTCTCGTCTCAGCTGGTGTGAACCAGTTCAGCGTGAGGAGTTCAATATCTCCAATATGCATCAAAAAATGCGCCGCATCAGGAGCACGAGTCTCCAAGGGTCAAAGCAAAGCCTGGGGCAGAGTAGGAACCAGTCTACCTCCAAATCACCCCGTGAACCATTGCAGAGGACTGAGTCTCACTTCTCTCATGGTAGCGAGGCTTCGTTTTATTCCTGTGGCAGCCTGTTGGATGAAATTGATATGAGGTAAGGAAGGTTGATATCTTCATATCATGGACTGTACACTTAGTACACGGTAAAGTAATTCATTTAAAAAGATTTTGATGACACTCCAGATATTGTTTCAACCTTCAAAAAAATTGCCCACCCCACTACTACCCTTCTATTCGAAGGGATTTGACTGTGACTTCAGAAGGTCATAAACTTGTTTTTTGTTTTGCTTTTTTTTTTTTTTTTTTTTTTTTTTTTTTTTTTTCTCGTCTGTCGTTATACTTCTTGTCAACAGGTCACTAAGGCTCTTCATCTGTGCGTGGGGTCTGGGTCACATGTGCGAGTATACCAGCCGTGGACTGTGAATGAGTATGGTTACACTACCTCAGTTGTTGCCAAGTTATTCCAGGTTGAAGCTACGACCAGTTTGGCCTATAGGCAGCTCATTGATGCAGACATGATGGACGTAAGAGAAATACATTTGAAAATGTTTGCTTTCCATTCATGCCATAGCAATTATCAATTGCTCTGGTACAATTACATTAGGGCGCCTTTCGATTGAGCGTCGTAAAACCAAAACCAAAATAACCACAATGGCCAATCAGAAAAAGGAAAATACTCTGAAGAGCCAATGAGAACTCGAAGTAAAAACAGCCAAACTGCCTGAAGCGCGGGAAAACGTGGGCGACCAAGTAGTGATTGGCTTAAGTTTTGCATCTGATTGGTTGAGAAGTGGTGCAAGTTTTCTGGACCAATCACAGAGCGATGTAAAGCAAAACCAAAGCAATCTCGGATTTCGATGCTCAATTGAAAATTGATCTATTCTTCACTTACAACGCCTTGTCACTGTTCCAGTGCCCTCTCAACCAGGGGTGAAACTAAACCACTGGTGATCCCCCGTGCTTGAGGCCCTCTCTGTGGTTTCAGTTTGATTTCTCATTGGCTCTCTTCAAAGATTCCTTTATCTTGCTTTCTTGCTGGATTTCTTTGGCTAATGTTAGACGACACGAAACCGAAAAGGGATTTTTCGGCTACTTTTTCTTATTTGCCATCTACTTTTAAACCTTTTTGCAGCTCTGCAGTGGCATCAGGCATTTCGGATATGCCTTGCAGCAACTGATTGAAATGTTCTTTCCAACACTGTGTAGATACACGCTCCTCTCCTGGTTAATGGTGGGGGTGGGGTGGTGGTACATGTTTAGCCCATGTTACTTCCCGTTTCTTGAAGTAAGTACAATATATTTTCCTTTCAGCTGGCCTTTCACATGTCTTTCCCTCGCATTTGGAATCAAACACAGCACTGGTCATGCGATATTACCCTTCAGAAAGTCACGTGGAGTTTCATCTTTGCGCACAAGTTCTTCTTTCAAGGTGGAGTAACAAGCTTTAGCCCATGCCACCTATACGAGGACTAGAACACTTTATATGGTTATTAGAGAAGCTGTGGCGTAATGGTCAGTGCACTGGACTCCGGGTGGAGAGGTCTGGGTTCAAGTGTTGTGTTCTTGGGCAAAACTCTTTACTGTCACAGTGCCTCTGTCCACCCGGGGTGGGGTTGTTCAAAGCTGGGTTAAGATAACCCAGGATTAGTGTGAAATCTGAATACAGACCTGAAAGCTTTAAAAGAATATTCAGTTTCTTTATTTTTGTCTACAATTTGATGATTTGGATGCTCTAAAAAGAATAGAGAAAATTATCCCAAAAAGGCTCTTGAATAGGGAAGTAAAGAAAGCTGGATTAAGATTTAAGCCAGTTTTAGCGCTAATCGACCTTCGAACAACTGGGCTTTAGAGTATAAATGGATACCGGCGAATTTTCAGGGAAGCTTGATGAAATGTTGCGGGGTGTCCTTGCGACGGACTGGTATCCCATCCAAGGGGGAAGTAGTTATACTTCCAGTCGCTTCATGCTAAGGAAGCCCCGATCAACTGCAGCTGGGTGAGCCACTCGAGAACAGACTTTTATTACACTCCAGATATTGTTTCAACCTTCAAAAAAATTGCCCACCCCACTACTACCCTTCTATTCGAAGGGATTTGACTGTGACTTCAGAAGGTCATAAACTTGTTTTTTGTTTTGCTTTTTTTTTTTTTTTTTTTCCCCAGGCCTGCTAGCTCAAAAGTGAATTCTCTCGAGTCGTTTGTATCTGCTGTAGAGGAACCGGATGACCTCATGAAGTTCGAGGACGACATGCTCTCTCCGTCTCATTTTGTTATTACGTCTCCAAGTATGGTTTACAAATACTCACAGCATCTGGAACAATTGGAATGTTTGAACTGGAATTCACCTCTGATGATTCCAGATGAGCAGCGACTGTTCAGCATTACGAACAACTTAAAGGTTTGGTCATTGGGTGTAAACGTTTTCAAATAAAGTATCAGTCTCATCTTTGTAATGCTACGAGAAGTGACCACTGCAATGCCCTTCAAACTATCAAATCGATGCACAAAACCCTCGTAAACGGAATCTCCAAATTTTTCAATCGGAACAAAATTTGTAATCAGCCATAAGAACCGTTGATATTGGGCAGTTTTGTATTTGAAGTATTTCTTCTCTGAAGTATCATTAGCCTATTTGAATGATACGTTCGTTCTTGGTCCACGTTGCCGTTACTTTCGTTAAAGTGGTTTTCGATTCAGTGTGGAAAGAAACTCGATGCTTCTTCGGTTTGGCTCTGCATACGCTACGTGAATAGTTAAACAAAAACAAAAACAAAAACAAAGCAAATTAGGAAAGACAAAGAAAAGTTGAGCTATTTCCACGACCCGGTTTGCGTGCTGTTCTCTCACCTTTTCTTCCGCTTTTGGAAGTTTGCTCGTTTTATTTGAGTTCAATATTTCTTAGCTCCCAGTGTTGTATATATTTTTCGTTCGTGTTGGCCGTTGTTGGTTTTTTAGTTTAATTACGCACATGCGAAAAGTACGTTACGGCCAGTAGCAGTTCCGTCGTAATTTGACTGAGTTTTCAAGAACTTATTCCATGAGGGGCTACCGATGATGTACCAGGCGGTTACGTCGTAAGGCGAAACCCAAACACAAGAGCGTGCTCACAGCTAAACAGACGGCGGTGACTAATTCTTTTTCATCGATGAACACAGACCGACGCTATCCTGGAAACCATTATGTTTGAGTTAATTTCTTTAGTTAACCGCTTCCCTGTTAGCTCAATTGGTTAGAGCGCCGGAATGTGTTGTGCGGGAGGTCGAGGGGTTCGAGCCCCGGCCGGACCAATACTCATGGTCTTAAAATAAGTGAGGAGTATTTGCTACCTTTCTATAATATCAAGGAATGGATAGATATTCTAGTCTTCTCGGATAAGGACGAATAAACCGTAGGCCCCGTCTCCTGCAGGGTTAGGGGTAGGAGACGTTAATTTCCCACGCACCAGATTACTGTGTGGTGGATGTCCTCCCCTGGGTGGGATGGGTGGGTATTGGCCCTGAAAAGCTTCTATGGAGAGTGGTCAATTAACCTATGTATGTGTTTGTATGTATGGATTTGCAGCCGTGCTCCATGTATAGAATGACTATTTCTGTTTAACTTACGTATATGTACAATTTTTCTTTGGCTAGTTCCTTCAGCTGCAAATATACGGCGATTTTTTCACACGTTCAACAGCATTTTTATACGAATCCGGTTCTTTTTCACACTCAGAAAACTCATTGCTAAGAAACTAGGCTTTAACTGTCAACAAACATCATTCATTCAATGAAAATACTCCCATTTTTTTTCATCGAGTTACAGTTTTGTATCCAACGTTTGCTGTTCAGAGGACACTTGCTGATTCCCATGGTCTTTCTGTTTGTTTGATCTGATTCCTGTCGCTTGCATCAAAACAACAGGCGTGCTTTTCCACTTGTGTAAATCTGCCTTGCCTTTTGTAAAAGTTTGTCTTGCAAAACCCAAACGTAGTACTTTTTATAATTCGGGAATTCTTACTGCATAGACCAGAGGATTTAAATAGCAGTTGGAATAATTTACAAATGCTGCTATGCAATCAGTTCTCATAGGTATTGCAACCTGATATACAACGTTTAAGAAGTCTATCAGACTTAAAGGGGAACAACAGACCATAACGATAATCGATGCAAACAGCAAGGTCTTTGTCAAGCGTTGATCTTGGAGGGTTCTGTTCGACTGTCCAGAAGCCGTATTTTTGTATCGGAACATCCTCCAAACTCCGACGTTACACGCGCAAACTATAAAACCTTAAAATCAATGTGTAGACGTTCCAAACAATAACGGCATATTTTGCTGAAACGAAGGTTCTTGTTAAAACAAAACCTCCTTATGCCAGAATAGCAAGGATCCACGCTACCAACATAGCAATGTAGTATACACTTCTTGATAGAATTCGGTGCTTCAGTGGTTGGTATGTTTCAGATAATCTTTCGCACGCGACGAGAGTCGTCGATATCAACAAGCCTTGCATGAAAGTAAAATCGACGAAAATGTTTAGTGGCTCATTAGTAATCCACGATCCGCCCCATAACTGGAAGTTGACCGCTACGACGTGCGTGTAAATAGTTACAGAGACTGCTCCTGAAATCAGATCTGCAAACTCCATGTTCATGACCAGAAATAAGCTTTTCTTGCGAAGCTTCTTGTTAAATGCAAAGGTACCAACGGTGAATAAATTTCCTACGACTATCAAAATCGACATAAGGGTGAAAACTCTGCACCATGCTATTCCCTCTGTCCTGGAAGGAAAAACTTCTGTTAAACCAGATGAATTCTTAAGAGTCGCGTTGGGTGTCGCCGATGAGTTCTGCATTCTTCGCTGAAGTTTACGACAGTCGAGAACTTAAAGCTTCCGAGGTCTTAGAAGCCGGTAAAAGGGACTTGCTGCACACTGGATTGCGTTGCGTCTGATACTTTTTCGTCGCTGTACAAAAGTATCGTAGATTGAAGGGAGCAAAATAATAAAGAGATATTGCTCCACAGAGAAGGGGCCACAGCGGTCAAGGATCCAACTGATTCACTATCTCGTAGAATTAAAACTGAATTTAGATAAGCTTTTAATCTCTGGTTGTTTGATTAGGGTGAGGCACGGGAAGTGCAGGTTTCCTTTTGTTGTCACAAAAACAATCAATTTGATAAATGGCTGCTCAATGCTAACTCTTTAGAGATTGTTATTTGTAGCGGCATTATTTCCGATTTAAGCTATTATATTTGAAAACATCTCCATTTTATGTGACACAAAAGGCAGGCTTTAACCAAATTCGGATGTTGCCAAGTTTTTTTTTATTATTTAGCACAGAGGAAAAGAGCTAACGAATATAACTAACTGAAAAAGGGCACCTGTTAGCAACGCGATTATTTTGGTTTCCAAATGTTGCTCTCTTCTTACTGTTAACACTGCAAAGAGCTTGAAGAAGCTAAAACCGCTCAGTCGCGGCCGAATTTACAGCAGGTGCATTGTAAACCTGGTACCAAAAACTCCTCTTTGTGAAACACTCGCTGAAACTTCAATGACAGGAAAAAGAGAGAACGTTCTACGCTTTCAACAGAATCGTGTCAAGTTTTTAACATCTCAAGGACCTTAAGTAAAGCTGCGAGTTTTATGTGCTTCATTCGATGTATTGATATGACACCTCGGATGTCAATATCGTCTAAAAGGGTACTGCAAAATTGTCGAATAATTGTAAGTTTTACACTACATGACACGAATTTTTCCCTTATTTTTTCAGTTGGGTTGGATAAAAAAAAACTAACTTAACCTTCCAGAAATTGAGAAAAATTCTTAACTTCCCTTTTATCGTTCAAGATAAGCGCTTGCCCGCCGGGTTCATATTGTAGAAACCGGGAAATGCTCGGGCTTTTATGGCTTACTAACCTTCCAAGACATAACCTTTTGTTGATCTTGTTTGTACGTTGTTTTTATTTGTCGTTGTTTCCGTAGGAGATGGAGCCACAAGAAGACTTTGTCATTCCCGGGATTCCCCAGTTTACTTACCAAGACGGCGAGAAGATCGAGTTTCCTCTGCTCGTCAAGAGGACCCAGAAGAGGACAGATCGCGACGAGTGGCAGGAGGAAGAAGTTTCATCTTCTAGTGCTGAATCTGCATTCTCCCTCAATCTCTCAGTGAAGGCAGCAAGCCCTGCACAGGACCCCCCGGGAGATGCGAGAAACGACGATGCCAGGTAATCATGTTTAAATGTGTGGCTACACGGAATTTTCAGATTGAATTTCGCTCGTTCTAATACATACCTAAATCGCGTTGATAACATTTTTCAAAGCAGATACCATGGTCACTTCAGAAATTAGAAAGAAGTAACTGCTGTATGACCCTCGTTGGGAGGGGGGGGGGACTTGTATTCTTCAGTCTTCAGGGCTTCAGCGTAAACTAATTGTGTCAGTGGCCATTTTGTTCGTTGCCTGACACTGGCGTGACTCTTGACTCTTCTTAATTTGCTCAATTTCTTATGTCGAATTTTTTCCAGTTCTGGAGTTTTAGATGCAAGTGAACGTGATTCCAATCTCAAAACTAGATGGAACTCGGCAATCAATCAACAAGACAGAACCTCGGCCAGTTCCAGCTCCGAATGCTCTCCAGATCACACGCTCAAGAAGACGAAAAAGTCACGCAACGAAGAAACCGTAATATTGCGCTTTGTTGGAGACATCAACATCCTCGTCACGCCATTATTGTTGGAGGCTTTGCAGAGGTACGTGACGTGACGTGACAATAGCGAGCTTATAACAAGCTTCGCGATTATGGAAAACGCCGAAGTAGTGGGTACATATAGAGTTAACCTTTGACCTTCAAGAGTGATTAGGATCTAATTCTCCTTACATTATTTCCCCTGAATCACACATTAAGGTAGCGAGAATTCAGGAAATGATCATCAACTGAAGAAGCTCTTGATTGTTAAACAAGTTCTTCATGTCAGCGCCGTAGTAAATATATAGAGGACAGTACAGAGAAAATTTATACTGACGTTAGGGTGTAAAGTGACGAGGAAAATCTGAGGTAATGCTGAAGGATCACCTTGCCACCCAGGAAAGGAAGCAGTTTTCCTTATTGATTTTAAAATGATCTAGAAATAGGGATGACTTAAGGGAGATTTTGCACTTGAACGAAGGCCAAGTGAAATCTTTAAATTCCTTGGGTTATCTCTAGTTCTGAGGCTTGTGTTATGTTTGATTCCATAGGTATGTCTCCTCGATATCTCGACAGGACAATATTTTGCATCCGGCTCTTGTTGTAGATCTAGTGCATGACAAATGTGTGGATGCCACTGAAAGCCTGTACGACAGACGCGAGTTAGAAGTATCCTTAGGGTCAGCAACCATTGCTCCGGCTATTGAGGAACCAAAACAAAAACAGATGGTTGTTTCGTTTTCAACTTCAAAGATCAACTTTTGTTTTTTGCAAGTGGCATCTGTAGAGCACAGTGAAATTCCAGGCTCTCCTGAAAGTTTTGTGGAAGAAGAAAAGTCGCCGTCAGTGTCTTTACTAGCGGGAACCGTTAGTGGCATTACGGCGGAACTTCTGTCGGTTAGGCGGAAGCCTGCAGCCGAAGAGCCTGAGGTGCTGAGAAGAGATTCCAATGTGTCGTACACAATTGCACCTTCGAGCGCCAAACAAACGGCCAAAACTGTTGATGTACAATCCTTGTCCAAAGAAGAATCTACAGTACCCAATAAGAAGGCGCCGCGTCATCGAAACACTATGACAACCGGTCATGCCTCGTGTGCACAAATTCAATTTCAATTGCGGAAGTTGTGTGACAAAGAGGACCTTGAGAATTGCGTGACAACTGCCATAGCGGAAGAGTCGTCACGATGCAAGTTCAAAATAAACAATAACAGTTATACAAGCTTCTCAGAGGGCTTTGAGACGCATAGTGTCGAGCGCGGGAATACACTTAATTTATTAATGCTGGAATGCGGCCTTGATAACGTCTCCTTCAAAGCCGGAAGTGAATGTGCGAGCGGAAGTGAAGTGTTACCGAAAATAAGAGAGAAGAGGCGAGCCGCTGGCCATCAAAGTGGGAGTAACAGGCTCTCGTTTGGAGAAAGGAGCAAAGTAGGTAATACAGAAGCTCACGGGTTTAATAATCCTATGTTTGATACAGAGGTAGGGATGCGTACCTCGCTCGCTGAACAGAGCCAAAGATCGGATACGAGTTTGAGTCATGCCAGTTCTTTGCCGTCGAGTCGTGGATCCGTCAGCAGCGGTAGCAGTGGAAATGATTCTGACAAAGAAAGCGACGCTGATGACGACGTTACCAGGCCCCTACTTCGTCTAGGAGATCGCGTGGTAGAGAAAGGAAAAGAAAATTCAGACTTGGTTAAACAGGAGGAGATTGAACCGAAAGACGCAGAACTCGCGCGACGAACGGACGTGACAATGAATTTCACCAACATTTGGTTCAATCTGTCGTCGCCGTCTTCTTTGAAAACTGTTCCCTCGAACTATCACTTATACAATAGTCTCGTCACGACTGCAGTGCCTTTCGTGACAGCCTGGATCCCGTCTGTCACGCAACTGAAATCAACTCTCAATACATTGGAGGAGAATCAACAACGATTTCTGAAGAGCTTGTTTGCTTGTCTACTGGCTCAGGCACTACCCGAGTATGGACGGATTCCCAAAGCAGTGAGTTTTAAAACGCTTACCTTCGGTTTAACATTAGCTATCTCTTTTTTCTCTGCTACAATGACTTAAGGTTTTTACGCAGTGTCCGTCGTAACGGGTGGGGGGCCATTCACGTGACACGCCCCCTTTCTTGGTAGGAGAGGTGTCATCCTGAGTCACGAATCCAAACGATGGCTGGTAGCCTGCGAGATAGCCCACATTATTTGCGTTTCAGGAGGTGCGTTTCTCTGCCTTAAGAGAAGTTTGCTAGGGGTCTGGCACTGATATCAGTGTTGACCACCGTCTCGCGGGCTCATGTTGCTTAAGGCCTCATACTATTCCGTAGGTGAAGAAACGCAAAGGAGATTTGCCTGGCGGCTATCTTTAAGTCGTTTGGAAAAATTAATACAAGGATATTGGTAGTGTAGAAGGTTTTTGCCCCCAGATGTAGGCTGTGGCTGTCTTAGGTTTAAAGGAAAACTTTAATACAACCTTTTACGGAAATAGGCAATCATCGATTAAATAAGAATTAGCCAAGATTAGACAGGTATGGTTAAAGATGGAGAAATTTGACCCCTTAATTCCCAAGATCCGATTGTCAATTTTCCACTCTAGCTGCTACACATTTCCTTGTAAACTAGTCAACAGAATTTGGTGTTAGATCACGACTACAACTTCTACCTGATAAGTTTGAGTATTCTCATGACCTGTTTGGTGGATAATGTATGGTTTATAGTGTGGAGAAGTTGAATGTTAATCTTTGAATGTAACAAAACCAGAGTCTCACGCAAGCCTAATGTTTAGCTTTGATTTTGATTTTAGCACACGGTAAGCCGTGGTTCGACGGAGAAATCCAAGTTTCTACAGCAGGACCATTCCAGCCAACTCATTTATATACTTCGAAGGCAGCTAACAGGTTCCAAACTCAACAAAATTAAACACGCGCTCGCCGTGAAAGCGAACATTCCAGAAAACGAAAACCTAGCTAAAGGAATCTTCGCCTTGGCAAGACAATGGAAGTGTTTCCTGGCAGGAACCGAGGAGGGCGAAGTCGCGTTTTACGGGTCCAGTTCACTGAAGCGTCGGGTAGTCGGACGTGGAGTACTGACCCAGAGAGATAGGGCGATTTTACTCAGGGAGGAGAGGGCGAGTAGGCAAGAGGATATGCCCTTGGACTTAAACATTCCACAAGTAACAGAGACAATACACGAGAGTCCAGTATTAACTAATGCAGACCAGTCAAAAGATGATGGTACGTTCTGAGTCAGATTTTTGTTACGCTTTACATTTATAGGGACACTTGCGTTACATTAGCCATTGATGTTACTGAACCAATCAGTATGGTAGCGTTTCTCATTCTTTAATAACCGCCCTTATTCCAATAAGCGCTCCCTCTCTAGTAAGGGACCCCCCCTCGAATTTTTTTTTGATATTAAGCGTCTTTATTCCAGTAACCGCCCCTATTGCCTACAGTCCTCATTGCATCCTATATTGCTTACCTCCCCTGCTTCAGTGATAGCAGTCTATCAATCTCTAACAGTATTATACGAGTATTTACTTTATATTTGTTACTATTGCACTTAATGCTATTGTTCCTTTTTAAGTAAACAGCATAGCTTAGTTTCGCAAATTCTGCTGTTTCTCAATAAATGTCACCGTAAGTAGACAAGCGCCTTGGGCTCGAAATCGAGTCATTGCGGTGTGTAACATGGTTCCGTATCCATCTCTATTGATTTTTTAAGAAGAATCTCTAACCGAAACACCAGTGAAAACAGCAAAAGACTCTCTAGTTCTGGAGCTTGAACCATTAATTGCCGCTAAGAATTCCCCGAAGCCAGCCCACCTGGATGTACCCAGACCGAGGAGAGTGGTGTCTCAGGAGACTGATACCGACTCGGATTCTTCCCCACCGACCACCATGAGGAAACCACCCAAAGCGACAACTTTCGTGGAGGGTAAAAAGCTGGGACATAAAAAGCAGTTGAGTTTATACAGTTGGCTATCATCTCCACCCACTACCTCCCCTCTCACATCACAAACAAAGGCCAACGTCGAGGCAGGAGTGGAAACGAATGCAGGGGAAACGATTAAAGGTAGACAAAAAGTGTGGTTGGCCGAAGATCTTTGTTGTAGACTCAAAGTAAATGATCGAAGTAGCGCTCTGAGCGCCAATTTTATTCCTGACACATGAGAGGTTGCTTATTTGGTTTTTGTATGCCAAACTATTTCGGCCACATTGCGATATTTTTCTTTAGTGTGTACTAAAACAGTAGATAGTGATGAAGGTGCACTGTGACTGGCCACTCAAACTCAGAATTTCCTTTGTTATTCACCACTAGCCACCTCCACTTTGGTGAATAGTTTTTATGGCAAAGTAGTCGTGAAGTAAATCTGAGCGTTCTAATTGGTTTTTTATTGGATCGAGATTTTGTCTTACGGACCATTTCCACGGAAACGGTCATAAGCCTTGTGGTTTTTGTCCGCGAAACCTGGCAAATTCAAATTTATTGTTCTTGGTCCGCACTGCCACGATCTAGGGCCAAGACTTCCTCTACGGTCATAACTCTTTATCGGTAAGAACTTAATACTTCAATAGAAGACAGACCTTGCGATGAATTGAACGTATGTGAAATTATTAAATTACAAAAACCAAACTACTGCGCACTCAAATTGGCCTTGCTCCGCCCAGCAAATGTTTTCGTAGCGCAGTTGGTAATATCGCCAAACCCCGGGCAACAGGTTCAAGCCTCTTTTGGACCCTGCGCCTTCAAATTTTTAATTGTAATTTACTGTTTAGGGTCAAATCGCCCCATATCGTTCTTTACATTATTCGTTTAACTTTATATATCTATTTGCTCTCTGGAGATTGAGATTGAATTTACAGTGTTTTACCTGGTTTTACTACAGATGGTGTGAATGAAAGATTCTCTTCTTTTCCCTTTCTTACTTAGACGTAACTTCCAACTCCTCCTCTCCTGAGGAACCCGGCCTTTTTAGCGACATGGTCAGCGTACCGACCAGCGGTAAACAGATCAAAGACGAGCGTGAGACTTTTAAGAATTTTCTACAGGCCATTAATCTGATCCCAAGGGTTGCTAAACAGCAAGATACGGCCAGCACGTTCTCTGTGAGCACGAAATTGAGGTACCTGCACGTGCATTTAGTGGACGGAGGCTTTGATAACCTGGCCAAGAGAGGAAAGGGCAAAGGAAAGAACCGGGTGGAGACTGGGGATAGGAACAAGAGACGCCGCCAGGTAGAGCGATCAAACCTTTGACATAAACATTCTATGCAAACGGCAAGAATGCAATTCTGTTCTCTGCCTTTGAGCAGTTTGAGCAATAACATGATATTAGTTAAAATTTCTACTAGTATGATGTGGTAATTGTTGAACAATGTACTTGTAAATACTGATTCGGCTTTATTCCTAAACTTTATGCCACTCAAGCTGGATCGTACTGTGTGAAGTAGTTCACCAGTTCAGTGGTGGATCAGTTGACCGCGAAATCGGAAGGTCTGAGGCGAAAATCTTTGTATGGGACAACACAGCGGTCAAACACAGGACATGCGTGAAGGCATTGAGTTTGGGTGCCCGAGTGGAAATTTCCTGCGCAAAATTTAAGCTGTCTCGCAAAATAAGCAAAAGAAAGTTGCGACCTTCACAGAAATCTGTTAATGGGAACAAAAGAATGGAAAAGGAAAACTGGAGACTAAATTCGAACTCAAAGCTGATTCAAGAACGGATATCCTGTTGATATACCATTCTGTTTTTAGCTTTACCAAAAAGTTGTACGCTTCTAAAACACCGTAACTTATTGGCTCGTGTGGTTTTGTTTTACTTGGTTCTGACAGCCTGAAAGCACAGCAATTAGTCATTGCAGTGTTCGCACATGCCCAGAGGTTTGACCGCTGTGTTTTTTGGGACTCAGATATTTTCCGTGTGCTTGCGTACTCAAAATGAGTCACATCTTTCTTTATTCTTAGTTATATAT